CATCCCTACTTTCAGGCTCACCCAATTCAGGTCCTAACAGAGCAACTTGTGTAGCAAGTCCTCCTCAAACCGGAAGCATCTGGAAGAATGATGAAATGGGCAGTCGAACTCGGGGATCATCACATTGAGTATAAACCACAGACGGCAATCAAAGAGCAAGCCTTTGCTGACTTTCTCATGGAAATGCCTCGAGCTCCACCCATCGCGAAAGAGCCCTCGCCTAAAGAGCAACAGCATACAGCCAAAGATCCTCGATCTTGGACGTTATACGTCAATGGCTCATCTTGTGAAGAAGGGAGAGGAGTTGGTATTATTCTAGCAAAACCATCGGAAGATCCATCAATAGAAAAGATGAAAGAGTATAACGTGGAGTACACCTATGCTCTGCGGCTTGGATTCCTGGTCACCAATAATGCAGCCAAATATGAAGCATTAATTACAGGATTGAACATGGCTTTAAGACTTGGGGTCCAAGATATTGAAGTTTTCAGCGACTCTCAAGTGGTAGTTAATCAGATTAATGGAGATTACACGGCCAAGGAACACCTCACTTTGTACCTCGAAAAAGTCCTCGAGTCAAGGGACAAATTTAATAAGTGTTCTATTTCTCACATCCTTATATCAAAGAACAAAAAGGCAGATGCCCTCAGCAAGTTGGCATCGAGTTCGCACACCTCAGTCATAAAGTTTGGGTCGAGGTTCTCCCTGAACCTAGCATCCACGTCGAGCATCACTAGCCATCACAGAAAAAGATGAAACATGGATGACACCTTTTATTCAGTTTCTCACAGATGGTACTTTACCCAACAACAAATCTGCAGCTCGAGCATTGAAACTAAAAGCTGTCAAGTATACCTTGAAAAATGGGATTCTCTTCAAGCATGGGTACCTGTTACCAATGCTGCATTGCATTGGACCAAAACAGACAGCTTACGTCCACGAAGAAATTCATGAAGGGTCGTTTGGTGCTCACATAGGAGCTCGAGAATTAGCCAAAAAAGTCCTTCGAGCAGGTTACTTTTTGCCTATAGTCTTCAAGGATTCTTATCAATTTGTACAAAAGTACGATAGATGTCAGCAATTCTCCCCTATCACTCGACAGCCACAACATGAGATCGTAACTATCCAGAGCCCTTGACCCTTTTACCAGTGGGGCACCGACATCATCGGCCCTTTTCCAAAAGGGCCAGGAGGGCTACGATGGGTTATTGTGACAGTAGATTATTTCACTAAATGGGTAGAAGCAAAGCCATTAACCTCGATATTTGGAAAGAAGGTGTTGAATTTTTTCTGGCAAAACGTGGTTTGTCGATTTGGCATACCCAAGGTTATTGTGTTGGATAATGGAACTCAGTTCGAGAGTGATCCTTTTAATTCATGGTGCGCTGAGATGCAAATCGAGCATCGATTCTCTGTTGCTTATCCACAAGCCAATGGCCAAGCAGAATGCATCAATAGAACCATCCTTCATGGAATCAAGACCAAACTACAGAATGCCAAAAGGGCTTGAGTCGACGAACTCTCACATGTCCTGTGGGCCTATCGTACCACAGCTCCCTTCTCGACGGACGAAAATCCTTATAGTTTGGTCCGTGGAATGGACATTGTACTTCCAGTTGAAATTGGTCTCGCCAGTCATCGAATCATCAACTTTATCGAGAAAACTAATAATGAAGATATCCTGACTAACCTTGACCTGCTCGAGGAATGGCAAGATGCCGTTAAAGTCTGGGAGGCTAAGTACAAAGAGATCCTCAGGAAACACTACAATAAGCGAGTCAAAAACATTGATTTCGCAGTTGGGAATCTGGTACTCAGGAAGAATGAAGCCAGTCGAGCAGAAGCTCCTGGGAAGTTGTCAACAAATTGGGAAGGACCCTACCACGCCATCCAAGTTTCACCGTCTGGCAGCTATCGCCTACGAATGACGGATGATACTGAAACCATCCTTCCTCGATGGTGGTATGTCCAGAATCTCCTCAGGTTCTATGTTTAAGTTCCTATTTGCTACTTGCTAATTTATTTGCTTTATTTGATTTGCTGATTTTATTCATTTATATATAATGCTAACAGGGGTCCTCGGGTAATTATTATTCAATAAAATTCATTACATATTTCACATACTTTGCTTGTGTCGACACTATACAATGACTAGTCTACGAGATGGACACCCTCTTTAGGGCCACCCTCGATTTGAGCCGTGTATTCAACATCCAGACACAAAACTGAGGAATACTCCTCGTATTCACCGTAGATCACGGTACAATATTATCGAGGAACCCATACCCGGTTCCCTCGAAAAGAGCTGTGTACTTTAAAGCCAGCCACATAGCGCTGTGATGCTCGAGTATAAATTAACATACGACATCGACAAGGCTCGAATACAATATATTGCCCTCATATCATATGCGGGGTAGGATAAATACATCTGTTTATCCCTAAATTTTGAGGTCTCTCCCCCTAGGGTTAAATCGAGAAGGTTTAATGACACCAGAGAATCCTAAAATGCACTGGCTCAAATTTTCCTTCAAGTTGACGATCTCCGAGTCTTGCTCATTAAGGCTCAATAGACTCCTCAGCAGCAGTTCTCTCTAAGGGTTCTTTGTCGCCGTCTGGTCCGTCGAGGATTGGAATCGGAATCCCGCGGTCAGCTAGCATGTTCTGATAGATGACAGACTGCTTTGTAAAAAATTCAAGCTGTTTCGTTCTCCTCTTTAGCAGCTCTACTGCAGCGATAAAACGCTCTGTTCTGACCTGTATATGCTTCTCGACAAGAGAAAGGATGTGGAACTTCTCGAGAAACCATAGAGACACCACGATTCCTTCTCGAGCCTTTAGCTTGTGATGACAATCAAGAACCAAACTAACAATTATCATAAATGAAATTTGGCTCTAATGATAAATTGATTGCGACTTGTTGTGCGGAAGCATTTAATCTAGAAAAACTTGAAGATTAGTATGATAATTTGCGCCTTTTGAGAGAGGTCTCATGGTAGACCACCTATGAAATAGATGGGATGGTAATATACTCGAAGAAACTAACGGACAAATCCAACTTGTGGAAGAGTACCTTGATTATAAAGCTTTACCTTTCTAACAACTATGAATGAAGAACCTTGACTATGAAAGAATCAAGACCAATAATTTATAGTGAAAGAACAATGATAGCTATGAACGCTGCAATTGAAAGAAGCACTTATCAATTGATAAGTCCCTTAGGACACAAAACAGAATTTTGTAATGACCTGTCAAGTGAGGTAACAACCCAACACTAATTTTAATGAAAAATCAACTTGATTACAATGAAGAATTCTGCCCCTATTTATAGGAGAGGAGGGAACACGAATTTTAGACTCCTAAGTGATAGAAAAGAATCTCTCAATCATCCTAATCCCTTATTCTAAGGAGATAAGATAGGAATTGACAACTAGGACTTGTATCTACTAAGAATGTAATCTTATCTAATCTACCTTTCCATTTTGGACTCAAATACAATGAGCCAATAAGGAATTAAAATATAAAACTCCTAATACAAAGAGATAATCTCCAAAAAGATTCCTTCATGCGATAAGATAGAATCTCCCTTGAGTATAAACTCTATCATTATCTTCTTTGTAGAATGATAATAGCCATCCATCTTGATGCATATCCATCCAATGATGCATTAGACATTAAATTGAAGAATTTTTATTGAAAAAAAAAAAATCAACAAAACTCGAAATGAAGTAAAATGAAAATTATGCCCTTTTTAATTAAAAAAAAATTTTGCCCCTGGGATTTTCGGCCCTTGTAGAGATCTTCCCGGATTGAACTTCTTATCATGATTCTCACCCTTGATGCTATCATTCCCTCCTTCTTTAAAAAGATTCGTCCTCGTTGTGAATTCACAAAAATTTAGGGGAGGAAAATTTAGGGGAGGAAAATTCACAAAAATTTGAAGAAAATTTGGGTGCTAATTTTTTACAAAAAGAGAGAAAAAATGAAAAAAAAAATAAAAAAAGAAAAGGATATATCTTCAAGATTTCACCAAAAGCTCTAATACCAAACTGATGGCAATCAAGAACCAAACTAACAATTATCATAAATGAAATTTGGCTCTAATGACAAATTGATTGCGACTTGTAGTGCGGAAGCATTTAATCTAGAAAAGCTTGAAGATTAGTAAGATAATTTTCCCCTTTTGAGAGAGGTCTTATGGTAGACCACCTATGATTGTGGAAGAGCACCTTGATTATAAAGCTTCACCTTTCTAACAACTATGAATCAAGAACCTTGACTATGAAAGAATCAAGACCAAGAATTTATAGTGAAAGAACAACAATAGCTATGAACGCCACAATTGAAAAAGCACTTATCAATTGGTAAGTCCCTTAGGACGAATTTTGTAATGAAGAATTTTGTAATGACCCGTCAAGTGAGGTAACAGCCCAACACTAATTTTAATGAAAAATCAACTTGATTACAATGAAGAATTCTGCCCCTATTTATAGGAGAGGAGGGAAAACGAATTTTAGACTATTAAAGTGATAGAAAAGAATCTCTTAATCATCCTAATCCCTTATTCTAAGGAGATAAGATAGGAATTGACAACTAGGACTCTTATCTACTAAGAATCTAATCTTATCTAATCTACCTTTCCATCTTGGACTAAAATACAATGAGCCAATAAGGAATTAAAATATAAAACTCCTAATACAAAGAGATAATCTCCAAAAAGATTCCTTCATGCGATAAGATAGAATCTCCCTTGAGTATAAACTCTATCATTATCTTCTTTGTAGAGTGATAATAGCCATCTATCTTGATACATATCCATCCAATGATGTATTAGACATCAAATTGAAGAATTTTTATTGCAAAAAATCAACAAAACTCGAAATGAAGTAAAATGACGCCCTTTTTAGTAAAAAGACAATTTTGCCCCTGGAATTTTCAGCCCTTGTAGGGATCTTCCCGGATTGAACTTCTTATCATGATGCTATCAGCTTGGCATTCTCCTTTCACAGATTCGTCATCTCTTCACTCACATTTGCCTCCAAGGCCAGTGAATTGTGAAAATCGAGGTTGTATTGGTGAAGGCGGCACTGAAAATCTTCTTCTCTCTGCTTAAACCTCTGTACCAACCGAGAGTGAATCTGTACAGTGTACGCTTGGACAGCATCTACGATATCCTTCTCGACAGACCTGACCGTGGCTATATCATTGACAACTCCCACTTCCTCAGTAGAGAAGAGATCATGGCATGTATTGGAAAATTCTTGGCTAGATTTTCGTCTAGGATTCTCAAGCAAACATGATGAACAGGGTACGATTCCTAGCAGAGGCAATAAGAGTGTATTAAAAAACAGAATTCTGAAAACAAGGATGTTATGTTGGCAATGGTGTCTTAAATTACATCCATAGATAATATTACAAAAGCAAGTTCTAAGTCTCAAAAGGAATCCTATTACCAAAAGGAGAAGTTCATACAGCGCCTTGGTTTGGAGGGTTGATCGGCTGGCTCTCATTGGTTTCTTCGGAAGACGTTTGGTTCATTCCAGCCTCCTCCTCGATCTCCTACTCCTTCTCCTTGTCCCCATCATCAGCTTCCTCCGAGGAGTCATCATCAGAGACCAAATCGACCTCGATAAATTTGTCAGAAAGATTCGGCACCCTTAACTCTTCTCCAGGATCACCCATCAGAATTGTAGGGGCATCACCAGGAAATGATGTAATGTCAACAGCGGAACCCATTTGGTGGACATGATTACACAAAGAATTAAACGAGGGAAGCTGTTCTGTGGAGAGGTGCAACAGTCCATTCTTCATCGACGCGTCCAAAGCCCGACGAGATCCTCCTTTATGAACTGTTTTAGCCAGCCGGCATTAATGGTCCTCCCATTCTCCATCCTTTCGAGGGGCAGCGACCACTACGCCATGACCACCCAATTGCTTGGCTGCTTTGCTGATACCAAGCATAAAATTGACCATGCCACTAGTCGGAAGCATCCTCGACCAGAAGGCAACCAGCCATTTCTGCAAGTCTGCCTTGGAAATACGAAATTCCCCATACTCTCTCATCTTTGCCTCCAACTCATTGTATCTTTCTTAGAGGGAGGCCAGCTCTTTCTTTTTTGAAGCTTGTAGGGCGGCCAGTTCCTTCTCTCTCGCAGTAAACTCCAACTGCTCCTTCTTCCATGCCTCTTCCTGTATCACCTTCTCCTACTCGATAAGCTTCTTCTCGAGCTCCATCCGAGTCAATTCCTCTCTCGTGTTCTTCTGGCGCATCAAGAAGCTGATCATCGAGGTGCTCATCTGCCAGGGTCACAGAAAGCACCACAATAAGATATACAAATAATCTGTGTGGCATCAATTGAAATATAGATAATACTTACCATCTTCAGAGTATCCCCCTATGTCATTACCGCAACGTTCTCTTCAAGTATGGGGGATTCGATTCTAGTTTCCTTGAAGTGATATATGGCAGCTACAGCAGTATAACTAGAAGATCCATGCGAATTTACGGTGCCCTCGGCAGTGTCTTTCTGCCTCTCCAAGGGAGGTCGTGGCCCTGTAAACTGATCGAGGTCCGTCTCTGTAGCGAGACGGGTCTCTTAGATGGGGTTCTCCGGATCCTCTTTGTCCGCCTCGACCTCCGAGGGAATTGTCTCCTGAGGAGTGATCTCTTTCTCGAGAATACCTTCTTTCTCGACGGGATGGTCACGGTTGCTCTTCTTTTTCGCCCCTTCGCGTCAGACGCCTCAACCAATTTCTTCACCTTTCTTTTTTTCTTCTGGATCTTGTTCGACGATCCTTTATCATCTGAGTTTTTGACATAAAATATCTTGGCGTCACCAAACAATCTAACAGCATTTCTGCTCGACGACATAACCTAAAACAGCAAAGATAAAAGAGAAGTTAGTACCTTCTTTTCCCTCGACTGGAACTGGAGGAATGTAGTGCTGAACATCAGTCCAAAGGATGAAATTCTCATAATCCTCCATGGCATTAATATCGGCTCTATACTTCTCGATCTTAGCCTTATCTGCCCTTGTCCAATCGTCTACTATCACGTCCAACTCGTGTGTTTCTTGATAATCCCAGGCTACACAAAAATTCTCTTGAGCTTTCACATATATGTACTCAAGTTTCCACACCGGGGCACCATCGAAGAGCTTCACTATCTGTACGGCTTTCGATTTTGTGTTTTTCTTCACGTTATACCAGTCTCTGTAATTGGTCGAGGGAATGAAAACCTTGAAGAAATACCTCTAGACGAGTAAATGAGGTCTCACGTTCACCAGGTCACACAATTTTACAAACCCAAGGACAGCAGTTGCCAAGTTTGGGGTAAATCGAGAAAGGAGAATTTTATAGTGCTGCACGATTGCTCCAAACAAAGGGAAAAGGGGGAATCTAAGCCCTAGGAATATAAACCGGTCGTACACCGTTATTTTTCCCTCTGGTGGCGTATTCGCCCTTTCAGTACCTAAGGGGGCTCGACATTCTAGATCTAAAGAGATGTTGCATTTTTCAGCTACGGATTTAGCTTTCTGGGATGAATCTATTGTAGATACGAAATCGACAACAGTTTTTTATTCGGCCATATCTACCAGAGTATGTGCTAAAACGGCAAGATTCAGACAAAAAAGGCAAAAACTTAACAATAAGAGGGCTACGGACTTACTTCTATCAGATTCTGGGGTTGACCTTTTGAATTGTAGCCTCCGAGGTTGGCGGTAGTCCTCGACAATGACGGACGGTGGCACTTCTGGCAACGATAGCAGGGGCACTGAAATGCCGGACAGTGTAAAGGCTCTCAACACTTTGCAGGGTGACTTTTCTGGGAGTAAATAGAGAGGATGGATTTGGTGTTTTTCTGAGAAAATATATGCCAAAGAAGGAAGAGGCGTTGGTTCTCCCATGATGTGACAGTTTCGCCTATTTCCAAGGCGAGGTAATGATGACAGGCCGATGTTTGAGGGATGCACCCACTAATGGGGCATAACTTCAGTTTAGGCGGGATTCTGAAACGAGTTACTTACTCGGTTTGGATCCTGACCCGCGACTAAATCTATCAGGCTTGCCTTGGATGCATTGGGCCATGACTTGTCCAATCGCTTTGGGCCGGGTCCAAGTTAGTTTTATTTTTGTGTCAAGTCTTGTTTATATCATACAACTAATACTTGACAAGGGCACTTGACGAGTCCATATTCACCATCAATATTGGACAGGCGCACCAACCATTATAAGTCCAACTGACTCTGATTAAGGCGGTTCAATAACAAGAAACCTAATAGGATTCGGTCATCCTTCAAGGTAGCTTCATGCTTATAAATAGGGTTGATCACACCACAAGTGAGGTATGCTATCTCTAGCTCCAATACCCATATACACATTATTACATAACCCCATTTTTTGACCTAAGCATCGGAGTGTCTACCCTCGGAGAGACCCCCGAAGCTCTGTTTTGCAGGAAACCCTAATCAGAGTTCCACTGTTAGACTGGAATCACAATTCCAGGCTTCGTCACTTGTGATTATGAAGTAGGATGTTTTTTTTTGGAAAGGCGTATTACCCATATTTAAGTGGAATCTACTAAAACGAATTTTTTTTTTTAAAAATAAAGTAATGAATTATTTTTGTTAAATAAAGAAACCAAAACTTCAGATAAAATTTACATACTTCTCAATGTTCTAAAACAATTGCCTTGTTTAGATTTTTAGGTGTAGTATTATTTGTATTAAAAAATATAAAGTTATCAGGATAAGAGCTAAAAGTCATGACTCTCTTTAATTACGATATGGGTGCGAACTATGCATGCCCATGCATCTTAAGTTATGATTTCGGGTATTCAGTGCAGTAATATACTGCTAGAGTTTTGTTTGTTTTACTTTTTATTTTATTTTATGTTAATATAGTACAATATATTACTAATGATAAATAACTCATATATTTTGCTTTTGAATTTATCATTCTTCTTCCTATAATAATATGATGACATCTTCAAAAATATATATATATATATATATGATGACTAAAATGCCAATCCTTTTAGTGAAAAAAAAACCTAAAATAAAATAAAATTCAGGTGAATCCCAACAGATCGTGAAACATTAATCCCCTTCCTAAAAATAATATTGAAAGTGTCCATTTTAGGTTCGGAAGCAAGAGATAACCTCAATACTTTCATCCAATTTTCAGCTCCCTAAATATCGTATCACTACTCTGCAGCCTTTCGTGAATGGTTTTTCCGACACAATAATGATGGTTCGAAATTCCGATAGAGAGCCCGGAATTAAGAAACAGAGTTACCTGAATACCAATAACTGGCGAACTCGGATCAGCATTCATTAGAATCGTTTATTTAAATAGCTCTGGAACTAAATAGTGAAAATCTGACAGTTTCTTGCCTCATTTACCATAAGACAACTGAAATAATCAATTCCGTTACAGAGGAAAAAAAATTAACGCCACTGAATCTCCTTGAAGGTAACAAATTTCGAGCATCCTAGGAGTCAAATCCGAATTCAAACCTGAACCCGAAGGAATTACGAGTTTACCTACCAGAGGGAAGAAAGTTTTCGAGGGCGATTGGCAGAGAACGTTCAATGTACCTTTTTACATTTCCAATACAAAAAATACCTAAAAACACACACTAAAACACCTTTTGTTAGTTACATTATCTCGTCGTAATTTTATTATCTACTTTTATATAAAGTCCCCCCTTTTTCCCCTTATTATCGTGTCAAAATATAGTTTTTCTAAATATTTATTTAGCTAAATTTAATTTCTGAATGAATTCCTAAATATGTCCATCTCTCGCCAATAAATCTAAAAAAATTATGCTGATGGTCTAAGACAATTAACACAATTATTACACATATTTAGTTTTCTGTTTAATACTATTTTAAACTTCATTATTATATTGGGATAGTGTAAAATTATGATCAGTTTCCCTTATCACAGTTTGTGTGCGTAAATTTTTCTTTTTTCCTTTTCTTTTTTCTTTTCTTTTATTCATTTATTTTTTTTGAGCATTCTGTTTATATGGCCCAGCGACAAAGACTTTATTATTCTCCCCGTAGAAATCAAAACAGGGCTGTGACAGTCACCTACGACGGCGGAGGGAAGGGGAGTTCTCTGGTGTTACCGTTCCGTCAAAGCTTAGCTGCTTGAGCCCTCAATTTAATTGACTTCAAAACTGCTTCACCCTCCTAAGGTAGTTTTCTTGCCCTTCCACATTACTCTTATTTTTCTGTTTCTAACAACCGCCTTCATATGGTTACCTAAACTCGGTATTTGATTGTGGTATTTAGCTCTAAAACTGAAGAACCAACACTGTTATGGTCAAATTGTGTTGATTAGGGTTTTTATCGAATTCATCTCCATTAATTTCAACCTCTTTTATGCTTGTTGCGATGCTTGATGTCAATGTATGACTGCTTACTTGGGATTTTTGAGGTGAAATTGCGGTGCAAATTCAGCTTTGTACTGTTTATTAATCTGCTTTAGCATACTGGAAAACGTAATTCTTGAAATTTTGTGCGCCATATTGATAATTTAAGGTGTAGTCTGTATTATGCATGTCATTTGAAAGAGTTGTAAAAAGTATTCGATTAGGGCAAGGGGGAAAAAGCCTTATATGCTCTGATTAAATTTTGTCCTGACCCCTATGTGTCATTAATAACCAGGACAGTAGCTATTTAGACATGCTCTGAATTTATAGCGGACACCTCACACGTACCTCTGATGGAATTGTTCACTGGCACGGCTATAACTTGCCGTAGTAAATAGTGCTGTTATGCAAGGCTCTCATCATGTTTGTCCAATAAACATTTGATTTTGAGTTCGGAAACACATGTCTACATCATTTGCTGTAATACCATGGATTGTTGCGAACTTATGACTGATCAAAATCTGCCTTGTTACCAAATAACACATGGTCTTCTTTCCAAAATGATAACCATATAGTTAATATAATCTGTCAAAATGTGCATCACTATTCACCGCAAATTGAAAAGGACACTTGTCTTGAAACTTGATGTTCCAAATGTTATTGTCAAAATTTCTCATAGGGTTTACCTGACTTTGACTAGCCACTAACAAATTGAAGACGAGTGGCTGGGCTAATTGGCCTGAAGGTTATGTCGCTTGAGTGCTATCCATCCCTTCCCTCCATCTGAATAGCACCATTGCTTTTTCAGTACTCTTTCTCAAGCATTCATCTTTATCATCACTTAGCGAGCTCTCTCCTCCGTCCATCTTATGTAAAGCTGTTAGTAGTGCAGAAATCGTATTCTTTTAGCATATACTGTTTTTTGTACATGTAAGGAAAAAGAAGGTGGCATTTGACTTTTTCAAGGGAGAGACTTACTGCCTACTGCTGTATTTGTTTTATTTAGTGCACGTGTTGTCTGCTGACCCTTAAGATTGGACTTTTAGATTATATTGGATTCAATATGAAATAACTAACTGAACCTTTTTGATTGGCTCTCAATATTCTGTCTGTGCATCAAATAACATTAAGGAGTTAACGTTCTAGATAGACTGTTAACGCGCATTCTAATATACTGAACAATTGTTTGCTACTTGTTTTAGTTGTTTACACATCCGTTTTTTGAAAGTTGAAACATTTGAATGTTTTGTATTTTTATTTCCTCTGACAACTATTTATAATTGACAGTGGTATTCCAAAAGTCAATAAGCAGAACCAAATCGAGAGAAAGCTATTATGGGTTTTGCTCAGCTGGTAATTGGTCCTGCTGGAAGTGGGAAGGTACTGGATCCATATTGAACTCTTGAAAATTAGATTTGTTCAGGCATCTTAGTACTATATATTGTGTTAAAATACTCCATAATTGTCCACTGGTATTAGGAAATTTTGTAGCGGCCTTGCTTTATTAGTGAGTGTGAATTTATGTTAAGGTCAATCAGATTGCTTATGTCTTTTTCCCCTTGATTCAGTCCACTTATTGCTCTAGTTTGTACAAACACTGTGAAACTGTCGGACGGCAAATGCACATTGTGAACTTAGACCCTGCTGCTGAACATTTTGACTATCCCATTGCCATGGGTTAGTACTGAAATCTCGTTTTTGTTTGTGTTTCTGCTTTTTTTTTTAATGTATTGAGGTTGATTTGGAGTTCAAAAAATAATGCAGTGACAATATCTTTGCAGACATAAGGGAGCTCATTTCTTTGGAAGATGTTATGGAGGAACTTGGCCTTGGTCCTAATGGTGGCCTTCTTTATTGCATGGAGTATCCTTCAAATATAATCTTATCTTAAGCTTCATTTTCATGTCATTTCTTAAATTGATATCGTTGTAAATGCCTTGGTTGAAATAGATATGCTATCTGGGCCTAATTAGCTTCTTTAAAGAATTTATAGAGCCAGTTAATTATTTTGTGATAAGAAGAACTATCTTGCATTGCCTTAATCTCAATACTCAGGCATCTTGAAGAGAACTTGGATGATTGGCTAACGGAAGAACTGGATAACTACTTAGATGATGACTATTTAGTTTTCGACTGCCCAGGTATGTAATGTTGCAAACATTTCATAATTCATATGTATATATATATATATATATATGTATATATATATATATATATATATACATTCCATATATATATATATATATGTTGGGGCAAAGTTTCATTGCTCACAAATATAATTTTTTCTTCTTCAGCATTGCTAGATACGTGTTGTAAATGCTGAAAATTTGTGTCTCTGTTAAATCAGAATTAATTATCAGTTTCGATTTTACCTATTTATTTAATTTTTATGTATTGTGAAATTTAAACCCAACAGATTTATCTGTGGGTGATGAACCTGGTTGAACAATTAGCTCAGCTTTATGCGATTATGTTGAAAGTGAGTCATGCATAAAGAGTCAATAGACTAGAGGTATTCTCTTACTATTCTGGCCAACAAGGCAAATGTGCTTTCAGCAAATGTATGCATAAGTTTACTTTTACTTTAGATGGTAGCGAACAAATTATCTCTTCCAGTTGATTAGTAATTGTCTGTCTTTCCCTTTTAAGGTATTCATTGAAGCGTTTTGCTGGAATGTTATTCCAAATTAAACACTGATACTGTTATCATTTACTATTGATGAGAATGCTTTTATGTCATTTCTTGTAAATATAGATTTTACATTGTTTGTGCGTCATTATGTGGAAACACTACTGAGTGGCAAAATTTAGTAACTTATTTTTCTTTCTTTGACCTCTTTATACAGGTCAGATAGAACTGTTTTCACATGTTCCTGTCCTGAAGAACTTTGTGGAGCATCTACAGCGAAAAAATTTCAATGTTTGTGTTGTGTACTTGCTTGATTCACAGGTAATTTTCTAACCTACTGGCATAACTATGATGTTACTATAGCACATGCATTCACATATATCAGTTGAAGTAATACTCTTTTCTGTCAATAGTTCATTACAGATGTGACCAAATTTATTAGTGGTTGTATGGCATCGCTTTCGGCTATGGTGCAACTTGAACTTCCGCATGTTAATATTCTCTCCAAGATGGACCTTGTGACAAACAAAAAGGATATTGAAAAGTTAGTGTTGCTAATTTGTGTTTTTTTTTTTTTTTTATTAGATTCAATTTTTCTGTCATTCTTGAAGTTGTAAAGTAACAATTCCACTTTGTATGTTCCACTGACTCTCTTTTCTTCCTGGTAATGCCTAGTTATTTGAATCCTGAGCCTCAGACATTGTTGCCTGAGTTGAATCGACGGATGGCTCCACAGTTTGAGAAGCTTAACAAATCTTTAATTGAATTGGTGAGTTTGAGATTTTTTTTTAATTGGCCATTGACATTGTGTGATGTGATATCTTCCTTCTAATCTTACTGGTTGTTCTGAATAGACAACAGAGTGACGTATTCTATACCTCGAGGCATATAATCTTCTCAACACCCCCCCCCCCAACCCAACACGTGGTGTTTGTAACCTGAGTGGAAGAGTAGGGTTTAGTTCTTCAGTAATTATATTTATTATGTTCCCATAATGCAATCAATTTACATTTATATAATTAAGTGTTAACATGTTCTTCCTGGTAAATGATGATTGTGGGACTGCATGTGGACAGAGTAGTAAGCTGTTATTTTGGGCTTATGCACATACTCTTAAGTAGTAGCCTTACATGTACAGTTGTAGTGGTGCAATTGATGAGGGTTCCTTTTTTTGTTGCAATAGGTGGATCAGTATAGCATGGTCAGCTTTTTACCTCTTGATCTGAGAAAAGAACGCAGGTAAAGTAATTTCTTTTTTCAACCTGTTGTGTTTGATTAATTATAAACACTGTCTTGTACTATGTAATGTGATAATGATTAGAACTTTTTATCAACGACACAACTCAATATCAAACCGAAGTGAGAGCATAAACCTTATCGGTCAAACTTTATTTTACTCCTTGATTTAAGCCATTCAATCTCAATTTACTATAGCAGGTTTTAGAGTTCAACATTTACATGGCGTTAATTTTTCAATCTCTTGTCCAGTTGTCCCATTGTCTCTTTTCTTCCATTTCCCCAACATGCGTTCTTTTACTGTTTATCATTCAACATGGGGTTCAAAAGCATCAAAAGTACTCATCCCTAGCCAACTAGCTGGACAAGATAGGTTAATATTGGTATTGAGTTCAATGTTTCTGCTTGTTTCTGCAGCATAGAGTACATCTTGGCACAAATTGATAACTGCATTCAGTATGGAGAAGATGCTGATGTGAAGATTAAGGATTTTGATCCAGAGGATGATTGAAGCTTTATATCTATAACGTTTTATATCCCGTCAAAGCTCGGAGTAGTTTGCTCAATCTCAAGTGCAGCACTGGGCCACGATGCATCATTCAACTTGTGGTTTGACTCACAATCTTATTGTCAATTCCGATGTTCTTAGTATCCCTATGTCTAAAGCTTTGATGCATGAAGGCTCTCTAAAGCTTTGATGCAATCGGTGTGCTAGTTACTTCTTATAATGGAATGTTGCACTTGTGGTCCGTCTGTGATGTTTGTGTCAAAAATTGTTTCTAGCTCCAATCCCTGCTGACTTTATAATACATTTGTAAAGTTACGTAGTCTAGAGTGCCTCCAATTTCGTGACTAGTTGTAGTGCCAGATGGAATAAGTTATCATAACGGGAGAAGAAGAAAGTGACCCTAAATGATGATAAGAGCCCAAACAGCTTTTGATCCAACTTGCCAGAAGGCAAAAGAAGTGCAATAACAAGAAACGTATAAGAATGTGCGATCAGATTAGAATGAGGTCATTTCATGGTCTATAAATCTAGCCATTTGAATCGATCTTATCTTCTACTTCGACAAACGTTGTACAGGTAGGTACTTTTAGGTTGGGGACTTTTTCTCCTGTTCAATAGCTAGACAGAAGTAGCTGTCCCCTCGATTACCAGAAGATCAAATCAGCTCAATTTGTGTTTGGTTCTAGATTATCTTTCGATTAATTTTGAGCTAAGTAATGATAATTTCCCCACGGCAGTGACCATTCATTATATTTTCTTTACCTAAAGTAGGATGACCAAAGATGTCTCCTCCTGAAAGTGACCTCTCCAATATTTTAGCTTAAAATTGTGCTTGAAACATTACATCTTATGTATTTAGTCGTTCATTCTCTCTAATTTCTATAATTCACCCAATTCCCCCAGTCTCTAGATCAGGGAGGTTTTTTTTTTTTTTTTTGCTGAAGAAAAACCCTTCTCATATATTTCTTTCAATCTTTCTTATTATAAATCATAAAATAAAATAAAATAAAATAAAATTCAAATTTATTCTTTATGAAGAGATTATACGTATATATATATATAAATGTATGTATATGTATATTGTTTCTGGTTTTTCCTAATATCTTACTGGATCTCAAAAAAATTAATAATAATAACCATAATAATGACGCTGGTTGCTGTCTCTGTAAAGTCTTTGTTTTTCATTAAATAAAAAATAGTGTGGAACTATCATAAATAGTTGGGAGCTTTTTGAGGCAAGTCTTAATCCCAATAATTAACTCTATCTTGAGACAAAGATTTTTAAACATTAAATTATCGAGTATGGCTTCTGGATGATTAGAGAAAGACATGTTTACATCTTTTTCATTAGATTACTAAAGACGTTGCTTTCTTTCGCTATTCCTTTCTGGTCATTGCTGAAGTAAGAAGGGCTAACTATATGAACAATCAATATGCCATTCGCAAATCTGAATAGACCAAACCATATTCAAAACCTGGGAAATTTAGTTCCCATAAAGAAAAGAAAAAAAAACCATTTACTCAAAAAAAAAAAAAAAAACAGCTATATATAGTTTCAAATACTGGGGATTGAATGACAACGATTAATCTGAATATTGTACGTGCGTTTTATCTCTTATAATCATAAAAGAATCACCTCCAATTATATTACAATAGTATTTCAATATTTTCATTGGCTATAGAATTAGTTAGGAGAAAAACTAAGCAAAGTTCAATTAAATTGATTGCGTAATAATTCTAAAACCCTAGCCGCCTCCTCTCTCTCCTCTCTCCCTCTCTCAATCCATCTCTGAAAAAAATAATCTTTACCCATCTTCTCACTATGGGAGACTGGGGAAAATAATTTTATTCTATTTTTATAAGCACAGTTTAGTTTTATCGTTTAATAAACAGAATTATTTCCCTCTTTTTCATTGAAATTTTGTTCCTTCAATAGATTATAGTCTATTAAGAGGGTACGGTTCTTTTCGTTATAGTTCCTCCGGTAGATTGGTTGCAATCTACTGGTTGAGGGTAGGATTTATTTGTTGATGGCATGGTTCGTGACCTCATTGGTGATGTTCGCGAGTTTCCTGTGCATCGCGAAGATTCAGTTAATATAAATTTATTTATTAAATTTATAAATTGGGACTTTCATATGATAACTAGTGATATATCCTAAACCGGAATCTGGTACGTGATATGTCCAGCGTTTACTGGAATAGATCTGTATAAATTTATCAAACACAACAGTGTGCTTGTAATAGAAGATGTAATAGAAGTTGTGAGTTGTGTTTTAGACTTTTTTTTTAATGTCAAACGCAGTTGAACGATTTCCAACAAATTAATTAAAATATGTTTTAAAAAAAAAAAAAATTTATTGCGTAATACTTTTGCCCCGATCTATTTTTTGATACCTTTTCTAACATGACGTTCTAACGGCATAAAATCCTGACGATTCTCCTCAAATTGCAGGATCAAACTCAAACAAACACACTCGGGAAGTTGGATTTGAAGTCCCTAAAAAGCTAAAAATAGCCGTAAACAGACAAAATCAACATCATCCCAAATTGGGAAAAAATTATTGCAGCTCGAACCTCGAACCGATTCTTTAATCCACCGCAAACGAATAGCAACCGTACAACAAAATCCCACAATTTATTTATTTATTTGGTTTCAAATTTTCTGGAAGATCAGTTCCCACGAAAATTGAAATCAGTAAATAAACAAGCGCAGCCCAGCAAATGAAATGGTCACAACAGCGCAAAGAACCGCACTGGGGGATTCTTGGACCAAATTGCTCGTCTTGGAGGGTCCCTCTGTCCTTCCATCTTCACGGAAAGTTGCAAATTTACAGGAAACGTTTCTCAATCGGACACGGCCGCCGCACAACGCCCAATAATTATAATGACACCCACCGACCTTCCTTTACCTATACTTTGATTAAACAAAATTTTGTTGTGTGGTTTGGTATGAGTTGGGTTAGGTGTTTAGGCTCTCCTAATTAAAACCATGGGATTAAACTTTACTTGGGAGTGAGTGATATAATCACAATAGTAAAGTGAAACATCATAATAAAACGCGATTATGACAAAATGAATAACATAATCATCACATCGTAATTTTATACTACCTCAACTTTTTTTTAAAAAAAAAATATTCACATTGAGTGTTCAAATTATAGCAAAGTCAAATTATGAGACGTGCTACATTGACTGTATTAAAGAATGGTTGTTTCAAGTATGAAGGATTTGTTACAAATTGTTATATATAGATAGGTATTGAACCAAAAAAATCAGAAGAAAAAGTGGAATTTAATACAGTAAGGTAGCTTCTTTGGGTAATCAATCATTTGAATAGGGTTGTTATGATGTTTGGAAAAATGATGGGTAATGAGCTTGTCAAATGTGGCCTGTGGGGGTTTTAAGTTCCATACAAGAAAAGAAAGGAATATTTCATAGGCTTAAAAAAAATTTGCGCAACAGTGCCATTGTTAAGGAGAATATGATTAATTAATGTATTCAGCTTCACAATTGAGTATAGGGGACATAATCATCATCAATTCACTATTCAATTTGTTTGTTTGTTTCTTTTTCATTCGTTCTACTCCTTCCATTTTAAAATATATGCTGTTTTAGAAATTAGTTAATTTTTTTTTAAATATATTTCATTTTCACAAATCAAGGCATATTTAATCACTTTTTATCAATATTACCCTTGCATTGGAAATGAAACAGTATTTATAATGAATTTCTATTGATTTGCGATAAATTGCATAGACAATAAATAAAGGTATTTTTGTATTTTAACTGCAATCTTTAATGTTTTCTTGATTTTGATGATTTTTCTAGAAAGACATATAGAAAAAATGAAGGGAGTAGTTTTTTTTAATACAAATTTTTTCTTTTTTTTTTTTTTTAGTTTGGGTCAAAGATAGATATTCAAGTAATGGTAATTTAAGAACCATGAATCAGTAGTACTAGTAGTAGTGCAATCCAACTAATGCATTGATAGTTCAGTTTACTGTGGAAAATTACGCAACTTTAACATATTCACATGCCCAAATTGCATTTCTTACCATCTTAATTCAGGAATTGGATATTCGGCAACACTTTTTTAATATCCACTTTCAACCAAAAAAAGTCTCTTCACAAACAAACTCCCACATATCATTTCTTGCTTTTTTCCACTCAATCAAATCCATTGAAACCCAAAAACTCTACGAACTCAATCATTACTTTTCATCATCATAAGTTCATTAAGGACTTAATCCTACACTACTAATTCTCTATTTTTTAGCCCAAAATAATATTGCTAAATGCTTAAGAAAATAAGAAAAAAATAAAAAATAAAAATCCATTATACTAAATCCATTCGCTAAACAATCTCGATTAACTTATCCCTTTCTTTTTATTATTACAAGCATAATGCCTATGGTCCTCTTGTAATTTCCTCAAAGTAGAAGGGCAGATATTTGACTCCAATTTAAGAATTCAATTCCTTTACCATTTTCATTTCTCTTCCCCCCGCCACGCCACCTTTTTAGTTTCTTTCTCTCTCTCAGCTCAACTTCTTTTCCCCCACTGACCACTACTATGACGCCGGAAGCCGAAAGACACAATAAAAATAAACCCCGGTCGAACCGTCCTCCTGGCCGGGAACCGGTCCGATCGCCACGAGTCCCCTTGCGCCTCCTTCTGCGCGTGTCTTCAGTCGCGTGCGGCATACAATTCGGTTGGGCGTTACAATTGTCTCTACTCACACCTTATGTGCAAGAGCTCGGCATCCCCCACGCCTGGGCGAGTATCATATGGCTCTGCGGACCGATTTCCGGTTTTTTCGTCCAGCCGCTGGTTGGTCACATGAGCGACCGGTGCACGAGCCGGCTCGGCCGCCGCCGTCCTTTTATAATCGTCGGCGCTGCGTCGATTGTGATCGCCGTACTAATTATCGGGTTCTCCGCCGACATCGGGTGGCTGTTCGGAGATCGCGGTGAAATTAAGCTGCGTGCGATTGTGGCGTTCGTCATAGGGTTTTGGCTCCTCGATGTTGCGAATAATATGACGCAAGGGCCTTGCAGAGCTCTGCTTGCTGATCTCACTGGTATGTAATGATGCCGTTTTTTTGTACGTGTATGCATACGTATTCGTATAATTGAACGTATACTTATGTTCGTATACCTTGATTATAATATTCGCTTCTATTTCTTTTTAAAGATAAATATGCATGAGAAAGTTTACTGGTATTTATTTTTCTCGGTTTTGATGTGATTGGATTTTTAATTATGATGATTCTGGAAATTATTGTTGTTTGTACCCTCTGTTCGAAAACGTTGTTTATATATAAAATACAAAATAATTTCTTGTGTCCCGGGGAAGTTTGAATATTCTGTAGGTGAGGGAAGCTGCTAATTGAAGCCAGTCGGATTCATCATCCTTACCATTTTCAAATAATTTTGGCCCATATTTTAATGAATACTTAAGAAAGCCAATGAGGAATTTAAAAGGTGGGATATTCTGCATTAAGCTGGAATGCGATTTACCAAAATGCCCTTGCCCACTTTGTGTAGGAATAACAGTATGAAATTTCAGTTTGAACTTTGAAGTGTTCTAATGTTAGTTTAAGTTATAAATTGCAAAAAGTTGTATTGAAATGTAAAACTTGGTATTGAAGCTATACAATGATTCACTAAATATGTCAAACGAGAATCAAAATGACATACTGGCAGTTGCATTCTAACTTTCATCTTCTCTTCCTAAGAATATTTTGTACACTCCATCTCCTTTTCTCTCTTTTGAAAGTTGCATTCCCAAGCTAGATTTTACTTTTCTAATGCGTTTGTTTTCATTTCTCAATACTAAAAGCAAATTAGTCTCAAATGGATTTTGTTTGCATAGCGCATATAAGTGGATCGCAGATCTCTCAGCCGTAGTATTTGTATCCGTGTAAGTTGTTTTAAATGAAATCTCATTGCAGCAGTTGGGGAGAAAAGAGAAAAGAAAACTGAAAGAATAGAACATCCAAAGTATTTGTTTCAAATTTTTAGCATTTTTGTTATGCACGGTGTTTGTTTAGTTGGAACAAAATGTATGTTCCAAATTTTGATTTCGTCTCTATTGTGAAGAACTTTCTTTTGTGTTTGTGGTAGCAAGGAGTTAACGGCAAATGATTCTTTAGCCTATGATAGATGGAATGTTTTTCACTTGATTGGTATTTTACTTGATCTTCAGGTTTTCTTTACCCCGCAGTTGTCTATTCATATCCATTGACCTAAAGATAGTGTTGAAGGTCTATTCTTGCGACTGTAGCATTTTGGAAAAATAGCTGTTATACTTAATATGAGTATTTTTTTTTTCTTTTCCCCTTTTTTAAGGATGAGAACACCTTTGTGGGGGGACAGATTCTTGTAATTTGACTCATTGTTTACCTTTTTCTATCTTAGAAAAGGACCACAGGAGGACTCGTGTGGCAAATGCTTATTTTTCTTTGTGGATGGCCGTTGGCAATATCCTCGGGTATGCAACTGGAGCTTACAGTGGCTGGTTTAAGATATTTCCATTTACACTTAGTGCTGCCTGCAACGTCAACTGTGCGAATCTCAAGGCTGCATTCATTCTTGATATCATTTTCATAGCAATTACAACTTATGTAAGCATTTCAGCAGCTCACGAACAGCCATTAGAGAGCCAACAGGCTTCACCGGGGTCAAGCCATGAACAAGAAGCTTTCCTCTGGGAACTGTTCGGAACTTTTAAGTTTTTCCCTGGTATCATTTGGATTATATTGCTTGCCATTGCCCTCACTTGGACGGGATGGTTTCCATTCCTTCTCTTTGATACTGACTGGATGGGTAGAGAAATTTATGGTGGGGAGCCAAATGATGGCCACAATTATAGTGCTGGAGTCAGAATGGGTGCTCTTGGTCTTATGTTGAATTCTGTGGTCCTTGGAATAACTTCAGTGCTCATGGAGAAGCTCTGCCGAAAATGGGGGGCTGGTTTTACATGGGGAGTTTCAAATATTATCATGGCTCTTTGTTTTGTTGGAATGCTTGTCATAACTGCTGTCAGATCTCATTTGGACATCGGTCATCGTCTTCCTCCAGATGGGATTGTGATTGCTTCACTAATTGTATTTGCAGTCCTAGGAGCTCCACTTGCGGTATGTTTCTCTTGACTCCATACTGGAAGATTCAAGTTGCTTAAGAAGAAAACTGTATGGAGAGTAACACTATGATGCTATATTCTGATTTCACAAATTTATTGTGGTCAGACGTAACTTACAATAGGTTACAGAATTGTATCTCAGCATTAGCTACGTTTTGATCGATAATGAAAATATATTATGATTTTCACTTGTAATGTTTGCATATTTTGCAGATAACCTATAGTGTTCCCTATGCCTTGGTGTCATCCCGAATCGAAGCTTTAGGGCTTGGCCAAGGTATAAATATCTCAACTTCACATGTATATCGACCTAAATAGGAAGAATTTTGACCTATATTCATTCCGATTATGCAGGATTGTCAATGGGTGTTCTCAACTTGGCAATTGTGGTCCCGCAGGTATGGGTCTGTAGACCTTTTTCTTTTTTGTGTGCGTGTCTATATATACAACACACACGCGCGCACACACACACACACACGTGTGTGTATTTGGTTCGATGATGATTTGTTTTGTCTGATGGGGTAAATTTGCAAAATGAGTGTCTAATCCAGTTTCCATGGGATTCTGGTTTAGTTTTTTTTTTACTTGTTAAGGCCTGAACTAAAATTCACCAACATAAACCACAGAGTTGTCTTTATCTTATGGTGATGCAAACAGGCAATTTTATCGCTTTATGATTTACCTAAAATTTCCCTGGTTTGTCAACATATTGGCCTTTTTATTATTACTAATGTCTGTTACATGAATTTTGCACATTACGGAACTTTTCAGGCTTTGTTTTGCCAGATTCTTCGTCTTAAATAAAATAAAATAAAATAAAGTTTGGATTGCCCCAATGAAGTTTGAACCGATGACATCATGGTGACACCAGCTCTCACTCCGATTTTCTTCTCTTACTGAGCTATTCATTTTATAAGTTTGGTTTTGTGCCACTTCTAGTATAACATGTAGCTACATAAATACCTAGAATACCAAATTCTTTTATCCGTAGCTAATTGTTGGGGAGCATCAAGGAAAAGGGTGGAAGATGGAGGAATTTGAGTGCATAGATGGAATAGAACAGGTGTTTTTATCTGAAATTTCAAAAGATCTATTTTATCTTGACAGTTGTTTTTTGTGTTATGTGAAATAGATTATTGTGTCTATCGGGAGTGGACCATGGGATGAGCTATTTGGGGGTGGAAACTCACCAGCCTTTGCAGTTGCAGCTATCTCAGCACTTGCTAGTGGCCTCATTGCTATTTTGGCAATTCCACGAACAAGGGTGGAAAAAACAAGGATTCTTCCATGAGGTATGGCCCCTGTCCTCTGTTTCCTATATTAGTGTGTGATACAGAGACAGAATTACGTATCTAGACATAAGAAATTTATTAATTTTCACAATACTTGCCTTCTTGTTGACCCACTTAAATTATAGTTTTAGTTTTTATCTTACAGGTGACCAAATCTTCCACCATGTGGTCTTTTTGAATTAAATTGCATGAACATACAATAAAATTTTTATTTTTTACCTTCTCTTTACTGCATTATCTGTTGTCATCGCCTCTTATTCCATTTTTGCATTTGTTGACACCTATGATCAATGCTGCGTGTTAATCACCCAAAGGTTTGCAAAGTTATCGTGTTGTCCAGAGCTCCACCAAAACACAAGAATTACCAAGAGATCCTTTTTCTTTCCCCTTCTGTCCTTGCCATTTTTGCAAAGATGCAACGTCTAAGTTCCTGGGAGTGGGGGATGAAGGACGAGAGGATCATTAGTCCGGGGGAAGGGCTGCCGAGTTACTAGGTGCAGGGATAGACTGAGCAACAATAGATTTTATTTTTTATTTTCTTTGGTTCTGTATCCATTTTAGGAACTTGCCCAATTGAGGGCATCCCTTGCTGCCTATCATCAGAATTGGCGTCTTATGGAGGTTGGCTATATGGTGTTGGGGAATCTCAACGCGGCCACGAAAGTGAATCATTGTTGTTTGATGCATTTTTGCTTTTCCTCAAACAAATGGTTGACTTTCTGGCTCCACAACGAGGTATTATGTTGTATCATTTATTGGCATATCTTTTGTCAAAAAGAGTGAATTTATGTACACCAAGATTTTGTAAATAGCATTGGATATTTAATGATTCCATCGGAATTGGATTTAGTACAACTTTTTTTATGTGAAAAGAGATGATGATGTTTGTTTTCAATCAATTTAAGTCACGAAATCCAATTTGCTTCTGCATTTCCTGTCAAAGAAACTATTACGCTAAATACTCTTGTATTCTCCCCCATAATCTATTTAAACTCATATTTTTCCAAGTTGTCACTTATGATTTACTTTCTTCTCCTGCTGTTTCTCTGCGTTCCATCAAACTTCTTTTGACACACATGATTTTGCCAGTAATATGAATAATGTCGTCTATGCACTGAAGAGCATGAAAAGCTTATGATAATACTCCTCGTCTTAGCAGCAAGTCTACTGCATTTTAAGCACATGCATGATGAAAAACTGGTGAGCTGTAAGGTCTAGTAGCTTTATGAAGGGAATCTATATCGAGGCTTTCATCCTAGAAAGGATTGGTCATGTTTCAAGTTCATCGTATATTTGTAGAGGTTTATACTCTCGAGTTCACATTCATCTTGAAGCATTTGGGTAAGCTGATTAATTTGTGAACCTGCTGAACAATGGAAAATGTTATACATGAACAAATGTAAACCATTTGAAGAATTTTTGTTGAGCCATTAGAATTTTTGTTGAGCCAAACCATTTGAATGTTATATATTTGTTTGGGGATGAGGACCTAAACTCTAGACAAATCTCCTTCTGTTTGATCATGTATCAGAGTTCAGTGTCGTGTACTCCGTTCGTCCAGAAACATAGTCCACATTGTAATTTGTGATTTTTACTGTTTTAGTACAATTTACAAAACTACAATGTGCCTTTTTTGGGACAAAGAGAGTACCATTAGCTAGCTGGGGAACTGGTACTGAGCAGTAAGTCTCTTCGACATTTGAAACTTTTGCAATTAGTAAATTGTAGAAAGTTTACACTGACTTCCGAAACCGTCTTGTAGCTCAGGGGAGATGAAAAGGAACTATTGCGTAGATTCCAGGTTTTTTGTTTTCATCATAGGTTATATAGCATTGAAGGAAAAGTTTTGTTACGGAAACCTTGAGATTCTAAGAGGTTTGTGGTTCTTCTGGAATGAAGGATTCTAGATACTGTAGTTAGCGGTCATTGATGAGAAGAATGTCGGCATCGATGAAAAACTTCTTTGATCACTGTTCATTCAGTAATTTTCACCCCTTATTAGTGATATCTGATCTGGTTATTTAAGTCTGCTCATGTAGCCATGTACCAATCCAAGCATGGGTAGAAGATATGCTTGTTGGCCAATGGTTCATAGGATAATGCCCCAATGACACAACATAAAAGTAGAGGTGCTGATACTCCTGTTTTTAGCTTTTTTTTTGTGTTTTGATTCTCTTTCTGATGTTTGTGTTCTGGAAGGCCTGATTGAGATGTATTAACCCTGTTCCATAATTCTCATCTCCTTTTGTCTACCTGAACCTTCGAATAAATTCGCGTGTTTGTTGCATTCTGAGTATCCATCCATCGAGGTGGTCATCTTACCTTTATGCAGCTTCTCGTAGTGGTTGTTGCTATAGTGCTGAATAAATATCATGGAAGGCGCTGTTGATGAGATGATGATGATGACAAGCACGATAAGATCATTCATCACTAAGGAAGTTGTTCTTAATAGAAACACTCACCATTTGTGAGAGTTAAAAGAAATTGTGAGTGTTAAGATTGTCTGGAATATAACTTTTAAGTGACTGTGGATACTTGTGTTTTTGTGTGAGAATAATGTATCTGTTGTCCTACACTCTCCTGGATGCCAATGTTATACTGCCTTGCCAACATTTCCATCAAAATGTGCTCAAAACAACTGTCAGAAGAATTTGAATTTGTTCACTTCGTGGAATAATTAACTTTGTAAAAGTGTTACTCCTTTTATAGAAGAATCATCTACAGGCAACGATTTGAGAACTATATCAGAGCATAATATATAGCAAAGGGAAGTTACTTTTTTACATCTTTTCAGTATGAAGCTTGATGTTTTGTTTTTACGGTTTTAGTTGGGTCTTTTACTGTGGAGAATAAATGGGGCACAGTGGTGTGAAATTTCGTAAACAGAGTGTGCAGTGTAAAAGATGAATAATGGGATACAATTCATGTCTTGAACCTTGAACTTGGTCATTTTCTTTTCTTTTTTTTCTTTTTCTTACTACAATGAAATGGAATCAGAATTCAGAATTCAGAACCCCACTTCCAAGTATGGATCGAAATTCCGTAATGGTCCTCATTTTGGTTCTGTTTTTTTTCAAATTCATATTGCCAAATTTGTCAACAACAGGACAGGAAATGAAACAGAGGAAGAAATGCGACCAAATTTTTTTGAAACAGTACGATCCAATTACCTCCAAAGCTTCTGCCCTGCACCCATTGCTGCAGAGCAAATAAGAGAAGAGGTCCTCTCTGAATCTTTTATTGTTATCGAAAAATGAAAATAAAATGAGCTGCAAGAATTGTTCATTCAGCTGGAGAATCAGACACATGTGGTCTGATCTGACATTGTGATATATACACATATTTCCTCAGACTGTGAACTGTGAAACTGTGAACTCTGTGTGTGTGTGTGTGTAAATATATAGAGACAGAAAAAAATTCAGTGCACTTTCTTGGTTTTTTTTTTGAGATAGAGAAGATGATGATGGTGTGAGGCTGAGCTCTGGTGGTGTTGGGTTTGAGACAGTGAGCCAGAGTGACTCTGGCGGGAAGGCCCCCCCTTCCCCCCCCTTGTTGTTGTTGTGAGAAAAGGGATACAAATTAAATGGCTGCAATTGTTGCACGTACTTGTCTATCAAAATCTGTTTCCTTTCTTCCATCTGCCGGTGCTCTATGCAGCCAAGCCATGAAAATTTTGTCAGCCTCCATTAGCCCCATTTGTGGTCCCTTCCCCCTCTTTGGACGATATACATAGATCACACACCCAAACACACAGTGACGGAGTTAGAAAATTCATGAAAAAGAATAGGGAAACATATTCACGAATATTGCAAAGGGAGGTCACAAATTATATTAAAGTAAAGTCTGTTCGAAATTATCTAATTATAAGAGTTTATTTTTTGCACAATTCGTTAGGAAAAAAAAAAAGAAAAAAAAAGAATACGAGTAGGGTATCACTACTCGTCTCCCTTTTCTTTTAATCTTTGTTTAGATAGATACAGTACGTAGATAAAAATACCCAACATCCACCACCACCCCCTCTAAATCAACCTAAGTCCTAATCTTCCCACTAACAAGTGCACAAGGATAAACTTTTTAATTGCTAATGAAAAGGTAAAAGTTTTTTTAAAAAAATAAAAATCGGAGAGGAACTCCTTCAAAGTTCAAATTGACAAGTTCCATTCGTCCTGTTAGTGGTACGGCTGTGTTTTTTTGGTAGCCAAGGGACCAGCAAGCGTTTGTAGACTGTAGAGTGGACACACAAGAACAACACAATGCCTCTCTGTTTTTTTTTGTTTGGATATAAATCTCAATCAAAAAGGAGAAACAATGGCAAGGATTAATGCTTATTCCAAATATCAAAGGCTGATTTTGTGATGATTTTGGGTAACCACATTGGTTCATTATAAACTACTAATTTAATTCTTGATTTCAAAGGTCCCCTTTTATCATTTCACCAATATACAATGACTTGTGAGAAAGCAAATTATCAGAGCCATAAAATTGGCCCACCAAAAAAACCGACAAAGCTTCTTGATTAGATTGATTAATGTAGCTAGCTCGGCTGATGATTTGTGAAGATCCTTTAAACCAAAACCAAGTCTTCTTAGCAGGAACTAACAACACCTATTCTACTACAAATCCACTGGTTTTTCATGTTCTCTGAAAATAAGAGTCACGTTTGTTATACTCGAAGTCTCAAAGAGTTCAAGACATAACTTTTATTTTTGGACGACAGAACAACATTGTAACTCTAAAAAATGGGCAAGCAGCCAAGAGAGTGTTTGGGTGCATGTTGAAAATTAAAAACAGTTGAAGACAACAGAAGTTTGATGTTCTGAGGGATCAAGAGAAACAGAAACCCATCACATGGGCTGTGAAAGAAAGCTTTGATTTTGTTTGGACGTCCACTCACTTTTCATTTTCAACTTAATTTACATCTTAAACACAAAACTCAATGCAAAACAAACAACCGTTCAAACAACTTTCTGATTTACATTTTAAAATTAAACTTGAAATATTTTGTTATCGTAATGACCATTTTTTGAACTAAAAATAGTTCAATGACTAAATCCAGAACTTTGCACATTTATTTCAGTTTGTCTCTAGTAAAAAAACTGAGACCCAATTCAAGGTTATTAGGAAAAAGTTATTTGGAATATGTATTGAAATATCAAGTACGAAAAATATCACTAAACAATCGAAAAGTGTCAATTTTAGTCACTGTAAAAAAATAATTTCGAAAATGATCACTAAACAATGAAAAAGTGTCGATTTTGGTCATTGTAAAATATTAATTTTAGAAGCTATTCCGTGATTTTAGTGATCATTTTACAGTGACCAAAATCGATACTTTTCCGTTGTTTAGTGATCATTTTTTAAATTCTTTTTTTACAGTGACTAAAATTGACACTTTTCGATTATTTAGTGATATTTTTCGTACTTGATATTTCAATATATATTACAAATAACTTTTTCCTAACCACCATCCAAACAACTTTTTGCTAAATATACCATCCAAACAACTTTTTCATCTCTTATTATGTTTTTCACTAAAAATACTTTCTATATTCAAGTCGAAAATGAAAAAGAAACTGACGTCTAAACAAACACTTTACAATTACAAATTAGCATTCCATGGGATGATGGTATTTTTCTGCCTTGCAACATGCCAACACAATTCCATGACCACATTTTTTTTTTCTACTAATATTTTGCCAATATGCCAATATGGAATTTGGATTGGGATTGGGATTGCTTGTGCCTGTCAATCTATTCATTCAATCCACTTGGCAATGCCATTCCATCAAACAAGATAATCTTCTTTTCTTTTTCCCTTTTGCTCTATTCCAATCATCATGGATTGGTTATTTTCTGAGGCTGTGAGTGAAACATTTATGTAAGGGAAAGATTTTGAGGAAATGGCATGGGTGTCAAATCCTTAAACAACAGGAGGTTAATAAAAAGATTATCCTAAGCTGCTAACCCTCTCCCAAAAAGACCTAAAAAGTTAACCACATAAAGAAACAACCAAAACCTTCATTGACATTTGCCATGGAAAAGTAAAGCAGTTGATATCATTTGAAACTGAGTTTATTGAATAAAACAAAAGATGGTGCTAAATTGTAAGCATTGGACGGTTAGTAAAAAAACTCTCTTTTCTTTAAAGACAGAAAAAGAAAGAAAAGAGAAGAAAATGCTCGTCCACCAATCATATAATAGTAAACAATTAACCATTAATCTGTGCTTAGTTTCCCGTTAATGACTATATCAGATAAGCTCAACATTTTCTTAATACAACAACCTTTTTCAAATTTAATTAAGAATCTCCCTCACACACTATAGCGGCCATCATCTCCTTTCCAAATGTTAAACTCATGCTAAGGAATGAGGACTAGATAAACAAAAGTATATATTTCATATGAGCGAAAAGATAAGTCGGCCCCAACAACAATATAGTAACCCCTCCCCTCCGAAAAGAAGATTTAAACAGCAATTGCTTTCTTTCTTTCTCTCATTGATCATGGCATTCATAAGCCTTGAATTAGTGACACGTTTGAAGTAGGTCCCATGTTCTTCAAGTATATATACTCGGCTATTATCACCCCTCTCCAATTCATGAGGTAGTTTGCATTCAAAATCTCCACCAAGACAAAACCATACACCCCAAAACTCAAACAAGATTGTTTCTCCTTTTTAGAGAAAAAAGAAAAAAAAAATCATCAAAGCCCTTATAGAATAATTACTCAAGTTTGTTCTTTTCTTAGTTCACAACTTATTATACCCCCATCACTATGTGCAACTCAAAGCCATCTTCTCCATCCTCATTTGTCTCCACAAAGAAGATTCACTTCACTAAAACCCATGATAAAAGCATGGATCTTTACACTTCTACTCATGAAGAAGCTGCTGATGAGGATGATCAACTTCACAGGTGGCCAACCCCTTCTGAGGTAAAAAAAACTAAACACTTCATCTAAAGTTGACTTCCTCCCTCCAAAAAAAAAAAAAAAAAAGAAAGACTAAATTTTTCATGCTTAAATATCAAAGTCAACCACTTAATTTACTTCAAAAAGCTTGTGAGAATTTTGAACTTTTTTTTTCGGCTCATTTTCATTGTTACCAATTTTTTTCCCCTCCAGGCTTTTGAAGAGATCAAAGCCATAGGGAAAATCTCAGGACCAACAACAATAACAGGGCTGTTACTATATTCAAGGGCCATGATTTCAATGCTGTTTTTAGGCTATCTAGGAGAGCTGGAGCTTGCAGGTGGTTCTCTGGCCATAGGTTTTGCTAACATCACAGGCTACTCTGTAATCTCAGGCTTGGCCATGGGAATGGAACCAATCTGTGGACAAGCTTATGGTGCCAAACAAATGAAGCTTCTTGGAATAACCCTCCAAAGAACAGTCCTCCTCCTCCTCTCAACTTCCATACCCATATCTTTAACATGGCTTAACATGGACAAAATCCTCTTATTCTGTGGCCAAGACAAAGAAATCTCCTCAGTGGCACATACTTTCCTCGTTTTCGCCATCCCGGATTTGTTCTTCCTCTCTTTACTCCACCCTTTGAGAATATACCTCAGGACTCAAAACATCACATTGCCTTTAACTTACTGCTCCGGAATCTCGGTCCTCCTTCACATCCCTCTCAATTTCCTCCTTGTAAAGTACCTCAACATGGGAATTTCCGGCGTCGCGCTGGCAATGGTGTGGACTAATCTCAACCTCTTCCTCCTCCTCTGCTCCTTTGTCTACTTCTCCGGCGTCCATAAAGATTCTTGGGTTTCTCCGAGCACTGATTGTCTTACGGGTTGGTCTTCTTTGCTGTCTTTAGCCATCCCAACTTGTGTTTCTGTGTGCTTAGAATGGTGGTGGTATGAATTCATGATAATGCTTTGTGGGCTTTTAGTCAACCCCAAAGCCACCGTGGCTTCAATGGGTATCCTAATCCAGACAACTTCTTTGGTCTACGTTTTCCCTTCTTCTCTGAGCTTGGGAGTTTCGACCAGAGTCGGAAACGAGCTCGGAGCGAACCGGCCCGCGAAAGCCCGCATTTCCATGATCGTCTCTTTAGTCTGCGCCGCCTTCTTGGGCCTGGCGGCAATGCTGTTTACTACCTTGATGAGGCACCGGTGGGGCCGGTTTTTCACGACGGATTCCGAGATCCTGGAGCTTACTTCGGTGGCTTTGCCGATTGTCGGGCTATGCGAGCTCGGGAATTGCCCGCAGACGACAGGCTGCGGGGTTCTCCGGGGAAGCGCCCGGCCCACCACCGGAGCAAATATTAACCTGGGCTCGTTTTACTTGGTCGGAATGCCGGTGGCTATCTTCATGGGCTTCGTCATGAAATTGGGTTTTCCGGGATTGTGGTTTGGGTTGTTAGCGGCCCAGGCTTCTTGCGCAGCTCTCATGCTTTATGTTCTGTGTACCACGAATTGGGTTGAGCAAGTCGAAAGAGCAAAACAGTTAACAAATTCTTCTTCTTCAAGTAAGAATGATAATAATAAGAATGCTCCTATATTACCGATTTCATCACCAATACAGCCAGCTGTTTCAGAATCATCAAGCAACGAGGATGAGAAGAAGAAGAAGAAAGGAGATGATGATGATGGTAATAATAATCTACAACAGATTTTTTGCGCTAATGATGAGTTGGTGAAGTCAGTTTCATCATCATCAGCTGAAACTGACCCTCTTCTATCTAACCACATTCTGCATTAATTAGTGTAACCTTCCAATTTTTTTTTTTTTTTTTGTGGGTTAAAAATCCCAGCTTGGGATTGGGATGGGATGGGATGAGGTTGATCATGTGAAAAATTGTTTATTCGATTCTTGCTTTTTTTACGTTCTGATTGTAATTTGTAGCTGTAGCTAGCTAGCTCTAGATGAGTTTCATTTTTTGTTCCCTTTTTTCTCCTCCTTTTTCTAGATATATAATTTTATATAAATATTTGTTTGTTTTGTTAACTTTTCTTGTACTTTATTAGTTTAATTCTTTGTATTACTTTGTTATCTCAAAAGGGGTTGATCATGATCTGATTAGTGTTTTAATTAATTATCATGAAAAAGTATGGTGGAGAAGAGAGAATATATAGAGAAATGATACTTCTAGTTCTTCCTTTCTTTCTTTTTTTTTTATTCCATTTCATCAGGCAGTGAAAGGGGAGGCTGTTGGGGTTTTGGAACTTGGGAGAAAAGATCAATCGATCGAAAAAAGAATGTTGTTTAGAGGGGTTTGTCGGTTGTTTTAAGAGAAATGAAAGAAGGGATCCCGCCTGACTTTGTTGTTGTTCCATACCATAAATGGCCACGCATTTGACTACCTAAAAAGGCAATTTGGCATAATTCTCATCATACACCACCTCATCACCCCCCAAAGAATCCCTCCATTTTGTGTTTTCTTAATATTCTTTTAGAGTAGTAACAGAAACAGTAAATATATCTTGTTCATTATAATAATTTAGAGAATTAATCTGATGCTCACCAAGTTGCTGATGAAAACATGACAATATCAATTTTACCGCTGAGAAAGAAAAGTATTATATGTAGATGTTGTTTGATTTTTAAATTTTTTTTTATGTGTATCACATTAGTCATAAATCATTTCATTTTATTGAGAGAATTCATTCGTGGTCTATAACGTTACTCTTTCGGTTTATTTGCGTTTTTCTATTCGTTGGTTCTTGTACCTCCAAATCCTACTCCTTACTTTCCACCGCAAACTTACTTCAAAAGTTCTTTTGTAGCCAAATTTGACTAAGTAATGCAACTTTTCATCTTTGTGTCCTTCCTCCATAGGTTTCTAAAAGTGACTTGAGAAAAAAAAAAATGGTAAAGGTTTTCAGAAGAAAGGAGTTGTTACGTTTTTTATTTTTTTTGTTCATCTCTAAATTTAATAAGTTTGAAGAACTAGATTGATAAGAATTAACTATTTTTAATTATAAGTTTCCTAATTTGGTAATAGAATTTATTCCTTACATGGTATACAATACAGTGGAATCTTTCTTTTCTGTGAACAAAAAGAGATGTTGGTAGATGACCCCCCAAAATAAAGGACCTATAAGTATCATTTTATAAAATATTTTATTTTATTTTTTTGATAGAATATAAACAATTTTATTCCTAATTAAGTTTCTATTTAAGGTAAGTACTTGGCTACATATGTCAATGCATAAAGTTTTTCTATATGTAAAGACTTCTTGAAAATAAAAAAATAAAAAGTGTTCAGTATATGTTCCTATTTCCATTAAAGGAAAGGAATATTTTTAAAAAATGAATAAAAAATAAACGCGAAAAAGGAAGTTAGCTCCCAAAGAACTGAAGAGTTATGTGTTCTCCCGATAGATAATAAACATAATAAACTCAAAGAAAGTTTACGAGGAAATCTACGTGTCTTCTATCCCACTTTTGATACATATATATACCAATCTAGGATATATGATATAATTTCATAACTACTATCCCTTAATTTAACACCCAGCTAGAGATTCTAACGTGAAATATAAATTAATACTCCCTCCGTTGAAAAAAGAAAATCAAGTTTACTGAACTAAAATAATATAACAAATATGGAGTATAACGGGTTTTTTTTTTTTTTTTGCGAGACAAAAATAGTATATCGTCAACACAAAAATGATGTATACGCTGAGTTAAGAGGATGATTAGTACTCTCTCTATTCTAAAAAAAAATAAAAATTACTCTAGTTCAACATGATGAGTGTTTAAAGGAGGATTGCATGATGCATATATAAAAGATCCAATCAAAGTGTACCATACGAGACGGTAAAATGGAGCTGGCACAATAGAATTAAGGAGGTGGGGGGGGGTCCCCTGCATGAAGCTGAAGAAACAAAATCCAGCCATAATTGAGTGTGTCGACTTCTCAGATGACAAAAAATGGAGCAGAAGTGAGTCTGGGCAGCAACAGTGATCCCCCCCACCCCTCAATGGCCTCCTCTTGTTCTCACAATACCAACACTTTTACTGATCTCCACACCTTCCAACAATCCGACTCTTTTCATTATTATTACCAAAGGACATCTTACATTTCTCACTATATATACATGTAATAATTTCCTTTCCTTACAAATTAATAATATCAATATCATCTTCTTCTTTTTTCATAATACACTACAACCCACATGCAAATAAAATTATCCATGATCAACAAGAAAAACTTGCTAATTTCATACTCCCTCTGTCCTAATATGAGAACAGTCATTTTAGGAGAGTGATTCATTCTACTTTTGTGTTGGGGAACATTAACTACATCAAGAGTTTCATATCCATTTTCTTCGTGTGAGTTACATAGGCTTTCATAATTTCATGTTAATACTTATATAGTTTTGTTCATTAATTCTAGCCATTTAAAAGGGTTGTATGTGTGTTTCTTGTACCTATTACTACACTTTGAGTAATTGTGGCAATTGGATATCAATTACTTTGTCCGTCATAAAATAAGTCTATTGCACTGATTTAATTTAACAATTTTATTTTATTTCATTTTTAGCATTTTAAAAAGTAAAGCTAAACCTAAACTAAGAATTTCTCAGTATTGAGGACCAACAAGATGTGGGACATGCATTTATAATTACCTGAATTAGGTAAACTTTTATATACGAAGAAAGTGAAACACTCTCACGTCTCATCCGCTAATTGGATGTAGTACTTATTAACCTTAAAAGTTCAAACTGTACGTAAAAAGAACAATAATAACTAAAGATAAACCGCACATTACATTTACGTACAATCGAATTATGTAGGTAGCAAATATTTTATGAATTTCGTTTCCTCCTTTTTTGTTTCTTTTCTGTATCAATTGTTAGTGCTTAGGTTTATGTCGAGCTTGCACTATGTCTTTTCTTTTAATTAATTAATGCATTTATTTTTATAATTTTTTTTTATGAATTTACAATATTTATACCTTCCCTAGCTACTGCAGCCAACAAATACCCTATATGGATTTGAACCTGACAATGGATATACCCTCATTCCTCACCACTTATATTTTGAAGGGTATCATATTCATCAAGACAGACATTTTGAATGGCCAAAATCTATTAAAGAAGATAAGCGAACAGATATATATCTGCTAAATATATCCCCCACGAAAACAAAAAAAAATAGTGAAGTAATTTATTAAATCAAGAAACAGCCCAAAAACTTTGTATGGAGGCAGGATGACTACAATCCCACTAATTATGTTACATTATATCTTTGTGAAAGTGAACATCCACGAAAAAAATAGTTTATTAGGAAACATGCATTGTTAAGGTTCAAAATCTCCTAATTTTATTTATTTAGCTTTTATAGTAAAGCTTAACATGTTCAAGCAATTAAACTAGGTCATAGAGTTTGGTCATTTCTTTATCTAATCTATTTGGATCCATCCTAAAACCTTTTCTGAGTTAATTAAGAAAAAGGTGTTCTCCCCTTTGGGGAGTTTCTTTCACGGCTGTCCATGGATTTCCTAGACAATTCGTCCATGACTAGTGAAAGATCATGATTATCATAAATATCATGAATTGAGCCAAAATTGAAAATATGAATAGCATGCTCAAGCTTAGAGTTTACCTTCAAACTGGTATACCAATTGGTATTGAACCAATAATTAATGTTTGAATGAAAGCTTTTATTCAAAAGAATAAAAGGAGGTGATGGATATAGACTAATAATAATTAGTCGTCAGGAGAATGAGAATGTTAAAACGGCAAAATGACAAGAAAAAGACATTTTTATTAGAGATGAAAATTGAAGTCTATTACGAAAGGAGTTGCTTTCCCTCAAATTACTATTTTCTTGATTGATACTACTCGAGTAAGTGGGCATGAGACAGTTTGCTTTCCATTTCATTATTTGTTTTGAACTTTGAAAAGATACTAGTATTAAGAAAAACATTCTAATTGACTTCCTTTTTGAAGCAAAACCGTATGTGGAAATTTTTTAAAATTTTGTTTCAACATAATTTTCTAGTTTGAATTGTCACTAAAAATGAAAAATCCAAACGGGCAATTAATGAGGGGAGTGTTACATATTTACATAGGTTCATCTCTTGTTTTGAAGTGTTGATAAACAATTTAACTTGTAAACATCAAAACCGGGTTACAGTTTGGCACTTACTATTTTTGCCATATTTACCAAGATTAAAGAAAAAAAAACTAAATAAATATGAACGAATCAAAAAGCATAAAGTTAAACATTAAAAATATCATTGATTATGCCGAAGGAGGGGGCAAAACAATAAAAATAAAAATCCCTTATCAGTGAAGGGATTCTCAACTCTTCCCAAGTCACAACCAACTGGAAAACACACAACAAAAACTTCAATCAAATGGCTTAATTGGTAGGAAATGTAGTATACTACCATAGGGAATACCAATCATTCATCAGCGCACCTATAATTGTATGATTTTTTTTTTTTTGATATTGCAGAATGTCCATCGTCGAAAAAGTGACTAATCTCCCTCGTTCATAATAGGTCATAAATAATAATGATAATGAGACGAATGAAAGCAAATGAAGGTCATAAATATGACTAGATGAGATACAGTATTATAAATTCACCTGAACCGTGTTTCGGTACTTAGATACAGTATTATAAATTCATGTAAGCTATAAACCAACAAGTCTAGACTACCTTTTAGGGTTGAGGGAATAAAATTCACCTGAACCGTGTTTCGTATTGGTAAATTTAATCTCTTATTATTTATAATATTTACATTTAAGATCATAGACGGTTGAATAAAATATCACCTAAATTAACCGTCAAAAAACCCTAATTATGTACCACAATATTATGTGCAGACCGTGGGGGGGAAGGACATGCATGGCATGATGCAAAATTGTGACGTACGTTTTTGTAATCTAACATGGTGGATCCAGACACCATTATGTCTCGTTGTTTTTGTACATGTTTCAATAATCAATAACAACCCCCCGCCCCCAAACGAAAAAAAGAAAAATTGTTCTGAAAACTCGAAACT